TAGTTACTGCGTAATTCTTGCACACACTAGAAATTAATATAAATGGAAATCAACAATACCAGAGCTCAAATAAAAACCAGTCCTCATCATCGAGGTTAAGAGGTCGTATGCCTAATGTGACGGCCCAAACTTTAGGCTGCAAGCCCCTAAACCACCCCCAATTGTTTAGGGCGCGTTGCCAGCTAGTAACCCTGCAACAATGCCTGTTTCTAGCATGTGCAACGGCTTTTGTTTCCACGGCTCAGCCTCGACAAGGCTAAACCCAAATCCGCGGCCGGGGAACGTCCAACAGCTGCGTTGGACTAGTCCCAAAGGAGACTAGGTACTAACCGGCCCTAACCCTTGCAACGGTGCCCTGGTGATCAATATGCACATCACCTGACCCTTCTCAGCCCTAATTAGGCTTGCCAAAAGTGGCCAAAGCATCATCCAACGCTCACAGGGCTGCAGGAGATTTCCCCATTGGCTGGGTTCCGGTGCTGCTTAATCTGCAAGGAAAGGACGCAGCCCGGCGCATTTCACGCATGCGCTGTCAGTCAGGTGATATCAGGGGGGAAAAGTGCGTGAGGAGAAAAAGGGGGGTGGGGGTTGCCAAGGGGACCCTCGGGTGGTGGAGCTCATATTCCTAGGCAGTTTTTAGTTAGTTTACCGCGCTGGCCAGGTTGAAAATGCAGTATCTTTCTTTTCCCTGATCAATTTCGTTGGATATGTTTCACGCATGTAAAAGCGTTTCGGAAATAGTCGATTACATGTACTGTACAGAGCATGCATATCGATATATTCTCGGATCACAAAGGAGGTAGTGGGGGAGGGGAGGGGAGGAAAGGACGTGAAAGATCAGCTATTTCATTTACGCAAACATCTGTCAATTTTAATGGTAAATCATATGGCAGAATGAGGGGGGCATTTGAGAAGGGAGACATAAGAAATGACAAAAATAACAAGGAGTGGCCTCGAGGTTGTGAGGAAAGTTGGTACAGGCTAGCCAATAACATCATACAGTTAGCGGATTTGGAACCCCGTAATTCTGATCAAGGGTGGAACTGAAAGTATGGGGGGATAAAAATGGGGGCATTCAATCCGCAGCGGATAAAGATAGTAGGCAGGAATAACAGCGGATGAGAATAAACACAACATGGACATGAAAACTGTAAAAGGAACAACACACTCCCAAATTCGCCATCCAGTCTATGCCAGCAATACAGACTCCAACACAGAGCGAAATAAGGCGTTTTATTTCGGTACAATGAGACAACGCTGGAGAAAAAAGGAGTACAAGAAGTTTACACAAAGAAGTGAAAGTCTGTCACAGGAGGGCAGGTAAAAATGATGATAAAGGCGGATACAGTCGCGAAAATAACTCGAATAGGGATCAGGGCACAAAGGAAAACGAAGAACGTATATATAGCAAGAGCATGAAGCAAGGGAATTATGTTCGCGAAAGCAATCATTCGTGCCTCCCAGGGTATCAATATGAATAATGTTAGAACACGCACACACACACACACACACAAATAGCAAAAGGGTTGTAGCCACAAGAAAAAACAAATGTCTTGTGACCTTTTCTTTTTCAGCCAGACTGAGAATGCAAAGCAACCCCATACAAAACAAGAGGTCCAAAAGCCAAACACAGAGGCCGATCCGCATATACACCGAAGATAAGGAAAGAAATGAAAACCGCGGCCTTTAGCACCTCTGGTCCTGATGCACGCCGGCGGGGCCCGAATGGAGAGAGCTCCAAGTATCAAGTGCAACAAAAAAGCGAGTGGGGGGGTTATAGTCAGTATCGGCAGTGCACTTAAGCTCACTAACGACTGATAAAGTAAACGACAGAGCCGGGAAACTGAAATGAGATATAAGAAGAGGGTAAACAGAGTAGAAAGAGGCAAGGAGAAAGAGGGATAAAAAAGTTTGTTTTTTTGGTGGGTGGGTGGGTGTTAACAATGACAGCTAGACGCCTTCTGTCCGTCCCGAGGTTGCCCTCATCTTACCGTATTGTATATGTCTTAGAGCTCGCGATGTTAAAAATTGCAAAACATAAAGGTACAGCAAAGCAGCATTTATTTGTTCCAATCCCTCGCAAAAAGGCTGATTTAAATAATAAAATAAACAAAAGAAGCAGGAGAGAGAGAAGAGGCTGGTGAAGAAATTGCGATCCATTATCTTGGGCAGATCAGTCCCATTCTAGTAGATATATTGCAACAAAAAAAAAAAAAAAAAAAAAAAAAAAAAAAAACTAAGAACCAGTATTCCAGCTCCTCTCCGGCGGCTCTCTCGGGGATTGTATAGGAGGCAAGGAAGCATCAGGAGGAACGCAAGCCGCGGGATAGTGGGACTGCGGACCGGATCGCGCTGCCTGAGAAATTGGCGTAACTGAAGCTGAGGTGCTCCATGAGGAGGGGTACGGGTTCGATTGGGCCGGTGACATGGGAGGTAAAGGCAGCCTAGTTGGCGCAGAACTTGTCCTCTGGCGTACATGTCTCTCACCGCCTGGTTGCTCCAGGCGATCTTGCAACGGCTGTTCACTTTCCGATTCAGAAACCGGGGCAGACGACTGGCGGAGCCGGGGGGACGTGGGTCTCGGTGGGATACGATGTAAGCCAATCTCTCTGTCGTAAAGGGTTCTGAAAAAGTCCCGCTCCGCGCGGTAGAAGTCTCTCTCTTCAGTCAAGAACTTGATGTCGTCCTTTTGTCTTTCTACCTCCTGTTTCATTTCCTTCTCATTAACCTTTTTTCTCTCCCTGAACCTCTTGGAAGCATCGCTATTCTTTAGTCGTTTCTCTGCTGCCTTTCGTGACCCAGAATCAAAATCCACTGGCACGCTCAATCGTGACTGAATATCCCTGGGTGAAGCAAACTTATTCTGTCCGCCAACAAACGCGTAACTAGACCCGCCCTCGTGTGGCGTTCTACTTCGGTTTTCTTCACCAGTAAATGAGATTCCTGCAGACTGAGACAGTGGAGCAACCGGCTGTTGAAGCAAATTGGTAGATGCCGGAGCATGCGAACCTTGGATTAAAGGACTATATGCTGTATTGGATGTACCAGGGGCTGTCGTCTGGGGGCCAGATGATTGTCGTCCAGTTATGGGCCGCGGATCAATAGGGAGTGTAGTCGGAGGAATAGATGGATGAGATATGGAATATCGCATTGACAGAGGAGCCTCCATTGTTGGCCGCATGGTGGGGTCTCCGTATAGTTGTTGGGTAGGAAGGAATGGATTGTTCTCCACAGGCATAGTTCCGCGGGCGGGGCCGTAAGAAGCCCCAATACTTGCAGCGCGGGCTCCAGGCGATTTTGCCGTAAGTATATGACGTTGAGGAAGGGGGGAATATATCGTGCGATCATGTTGTGATATTGAACGGTCCGATTGGGGTGTTAATCCCGCAGAGGATGGCGTTACGTGCGGATTAGTCGATGGAGAAGGGGATGTCGATGGCGTAGCTCCGACAATATCGCGATTGGCCTGCTGGACAGAATGTCCCGTAGCCAGGGTGTGGGAAGGATTAAGAATGGCATGCATCCCTATGGATCGGGTGGTTGGCGTTCTCCATGCAGGATCTGGGGAGCCAGTCCTCCCTGGCTGCGGTGCAGGGCCACTGTCCCTAGTTGGTGGTGGTTCTAGGAGTTCAATTGTCCCATCATTGCGGCTACGGGGAGATAACTCGGCTGTCGCGACAGTTTTGCGTACGCGGCGGGACGGACTGCCGGACGGAAAGTCTGATGCATGTGGCCGTTTCGACATATGCTCCTGCACTCCACCGAGGGATAGATTTCGTGGAGCGTAACATGGACGATCTTTCCCTCCCTCTTGAATGCTCCGGCTCTCAGACGGTCGAAGATAAGAGAGGGAGGGTAACCGACTATGGTCCTGGTAAAATCTGTTAAAGGTATGGTCACGGGCTTGTGAAGAGGATGTAGCCCTTGTGTACTCGATGTGTTTCTGGGGAAAATTGCAAATTCCGAGCGCAGCCACGATGGGGTCTTCGAAGCTGGATATCGTATAACGTTACTTCCCAGCCAGGTTAGGTTTTAGAAAACACCAACAACAAATATGCTTACGGATCCAAGGGGCGCGCGAGAAGGAGGTGTGAGGATGATTGACAGAGCAACAGCTCAAAAATATGGGGTAGCTCTTCGCCACTGCATGAAGAATGTATGGGGAAAATCAACCACGCGTCAGATCCCTTTCTTCCGTAGAACGAAGAAAAAAAAGGAAGAAGGGAAAGGAAAGGTTGGATCCTTTGGAAATGGAAATCTTCAAGTGGTCAATCATCAAAAAAGAAAAGAAATGAACAGACAGAGGGAGGGAATATGGAAGTCAAAAATCAGGAGAGGCGGACAACCACTCCAGTCAAGTCATCAACGCGCTGGATCAAACATGCCTAGTTATAGGCTCGTAACAAAAGCTAATACAGGCTTGGGCTAACGGACCGGGGACCACGGAAAGGGATGGCTTGGTGAGAAACAATGCCCTTGGCGAGAGCGAGCGCGGAGGTGAAAGCAGCAGCGCCTGAGCCTCCGATAATGGGCGACAGATGCATGGAAGGTGCCCACGAGAATGGTAGAGGGGCGTGATAGTGGACCCTACGAGTGCACTAGGAGGTGCCCCGGACGCCGGCAATTGGGCAGCGAGCTTAAACATCCACGAAAGTGGTGTGAATGGCTTCCGCCGAATGGTCGTTGCACAGTCCGTCGTTTTTATCCTTTGACGGTCCATCCCAGGTGTTTTGACTTGACCATCAGTGATGCAGTGATGCAAGATTGGCCATGCACGTTGGTTCCTGGTGCTTTGACCTTTTAGGATGATATTCCTGCCGGTTAGCCAACTGCTATCTGTGAGTCTTCGCCGTTATTCGCTGCGACTCACCGTCTAAACTTCCTAGACTAGCATAACTGGTCCGTAATTTATTATTGCCAGGGTTTATTTCGGTTTCTTATCCTATTCTTTTCTCGCTTACCCGCTAGCCGTGCGGCGGCCGCCGGAGGACGGATTTGGGGGTGCTTTTCATCATTGGTAGCGCCGCTCATGGGATCATGAAAGGGGAAAAACTTGCAACCAAAAAAAAAAGGTGTACCGACTCTGCAAGGTCAAAGATTCCCCTACGCGGATGGATTGCTCATTGCATTACTTTATCTTGACGCAAGGGGCAGCTCAGAAGCAGCAGTTGACTTTTTTTTTTTTTTTTTTTTTTTTTTTTTTTTTTTTTTTTTTGGTTTGTCCCCGTCGTGAAAATTCGAAATACTAAGGGCGCAAATGCCTCGAGGGCAACTCATGCGTTGCTGTCAAGATGCGGTACATACATGCAGATAATGCATGTGGTGCACTGACAGCAAAACTAGGCAGAGGAACGAATGATGTCCTTTTCGTTTTCGCCCGAATGCCATCTAGGCTGACTGGCAATGGCAGAAACTGCCTGGAATTCTGATTCAAATACTTTCATTCCGCAAGAATATACACATTCCCAGAAGCCATTGTTAGCTGTACGCAGTCAAATCTTCAAGCTACCCTCTTTTTTCTCATGGGAACTTCATACGAATATCAACAAGCCTCCAAGTGCGCGCCTGGACAAGTGATTATTGAACCAAGGAGGCCTCTATCAGTACAAAGATTTTTCCCGGCGAAATATGAGCTACTGCTTCCTGACTCGCTCGAAACTGGGCAGGACGTAAACTGCGTATATGTCTTCACAACAGGCCTATGTACAGGACTCCTAGCTCGTCGCATTGATCAGATATATTTCTCATTATAAATTTCATAAAACTGAGCTTTCAACTAAAAGTGCTATTAATTAAGGCCATTCCCCTTGAGAGAACAGGACGTGGACGGTTAATCCGTACTGATGGTGGATTAACATAGCCATGGACCACGGCCATTAATCTTAAATGTACTCCGTACTGTACTAAGCGAAAACATTGGCCAGCAGTGTCCTCCCAGAGAGCACGTTGCAAAAGCAGCCTATAGAGTTCCTGAACCATGATATATCGGAGCAGCGAGAAAGCAGTTGACGCGCTGTTGTTGATTGAATCGGTGGTGAAATAAGCAACGCAGGCGGTGTAATATCAGCCCTTTACCGATGTCTGCCCACGGCGTTCACACTCAGAATAATGAGCTCATCAAAGGATCGAGCCCCCAGCGACACTGCCACCTTGACCGGGACTGGTGAGAACAGTAGCGGAACCCAAGGAACTGGTATCAGGCGCCAGTTGGGCAGGAAGGTCCAAGAGTCTTTTGTCCAACTGGCCAGTCGGGGCGGAGGGGACAAAGCATTCTCCATTCAGAAACAGCCAATCCTGAAATTCTCAGACTGATCTTCAGTCTGGCGCTGGTTTTAACCTTGAATAGCCAATCAAAATAAGTTCGCAACGGTTTAGAGCCCGTGTTTTTCCCCGCCACGATACAGACGAATAAACCCTAACGAGCAAGAAAGCCAGCTAGAATTTCGATGAAGGTTGCTCGCTGGGCCAGGCAATATGTGACTAAATTATTGACGCTGGTAGGGATATTATTCCAGGGGTTGTACTTCTTGGCCCGCCTAAGGATAGTTGGACGAACTCATTTGGCAAAGTCCGCAACTTGATCCTAGATGGTGATGATGATGATAATACGGAGTATATTATTTATTATTGTAGGGGCCCCACAGAACTCACTGGCATCAATAATAATGTTACGGCCTCAGCCTCATGGAATCGATCAGGTTCCACATGAAACCGTGGCCATGAATAGTTCCGTCGTTAGTTGAGACGCCAAGGGGACAGCTCCATCTGCCGCTGGGTTGACTCTAAATAGTCGTTATGCACTCCGTCGTTGTGAGCTATATCATATATCAGCGGTGCCAAAATGCTCCTCTGCTGATGTGCAGGAGTCACTTTTCCCGAAGATCCTAACGGCGGCGGCATCATCCATCCCTCAAAATGGTGGCCGGATCCATGTTGTAAAGGCGAAATGGCTCCAGAAGGAACGAGAACATATGCATCATAAACATCAATTGATGAACGAGAAATCCCTTTGCACTTCCACTCCGTATATGGAGTACATTTCTTTCATTTAGGGATCTCGAGACGCATGCCTAGTTGCTCAACCTCTTGGAGCAAGCTTGGAATCGAAGCATTGAAAACAAATCGCCATAGAAAATTTCAATTGAAATACATACTCTGTGTTGCCTTCCTAGACGTCACCCCATATATTGTTCTTTTTGATCTGATGGAATTAATAGCTTCAGAATACCACGAAGCCGGCAATAGGGTATAGACTCAACGCGTGGAACAAAAATGCTTTCATGCGCTGGAAATTTACATGGTAAACCCGTTACATACCAGTTGAGTTTGGGTTTGTTTGAGGGCTGGTTGGATGCTTAAGTCATGGCTATCATGTTAGATGTCAAGGCCCCCACAACTTCTGTCCATGAGGGGTCGAAATCGTTGAGGTTTTCATGTACTGTACATTTCTAACCTCTTGCAATTCATGTTGTTCCACACCTCCGTGCAAAACGACGTACCTTTATTGGTTATCGGTTTTGGATTTTGAATGACAGCCGTTTCCGCCATGGACATCAAGAATCAACGATAATAGGCCCATCGGAACAATTCACTCTGGTCATCCACTAGTTAAAGGATATCCTCACATGGAACTGAATTCGTATCAACAATTGCGGAGGAAAATTTGTTCGAGATGATCGCTAAAATATAGATACAGGTATTTTTGCCTGTATGATTTATGATAACCTCATACCGTTAACCGTTCATGCTCGTTAAAGAGGGTACTGCAGTAAGACCATTTTGATATCCCATAATTCTTTGGCAAATTCAAAAATTGGAACATGGCAGGTAAAGGCTTGATTCATGATTCAGTTTCGATTGATATGTGGGTTGCTGTTGGATTACGAATTTACGAGCACTATTTGTCTAAAGCACCGACATCTTATTGGGGGCTGATTGATCGAAATGAATAACTAAACGAAGCATTCAGCTCGGTGGCTCTTGGGCGGAATTAACGACTGTTCTTCAGGAGGCAACATCTATCATATCAGGCAAGTCACAAGAACTTGCGAGGGCACCCGCCCAATGGATTCACTGCAGAATCCCCACAAATATGCCTTGCTGTCACGATTCCTCCATGTCCCGCGGAGTGAACAGCAACATACCCGAAATTGGAGCCGAAAATGCAGCCCAGTCCCAACTGGCTCACAGAGCCATTGTGTGGAGAATGGTAGATATAGCGTTAATGCCAATTACTGACCACAAGAACAGTGCGGCAATCCCTGAAAATACGAAGGCTCTTGGTGAAATGGTGGCCTTGCGCATCTGCATGATCTGCAGCAAAGGGGTCCTGCGGTTTGATGGCAGGTAAATCTAGCCC